TTCCAGAAAATTAATTTCTTTCACGCCACTGACGAATTTTCGGACCGGTTTTCCGTTTGTTCCTGACGTTGTACGTAGAAGTAGTGAGTTCTTATATCAGGTGGACGGGGGTAACGGCGGCCTGCCAGATCATCGAAAGGGGTAATGGAGCACCCGAACGTGAGAACTACTGGTCTAATGCAATAATTTATTTTAAGCCAAAAGCAGTGGTAGCATAAACTGATGAAAGTCATTATGAAAAAAAAAAACGCCCAAACACCGTATACAAATTTATCAGTTCGAGTTCTCTGTGAATAATCATTCATTTATTGAAATTTGAGAATGATTCATTTGGTTATGCTCATTTTTATCGTGAAATTAATGTATCCTAAACTGCGACAACAACAGAATGTTCGGAGAAGGAAGCAGCAGCTTGTATCGATCTAGAGAGAAAGTGTTTCCGATTCACTACTTGGTGCCTTCACATGGTAAATCAGTGCTTCGCTTGTGGTCAGTTTCCAGTATTTATCGATATTTTCAGAAATATTTTCCGAATTTCACCATATCAATACAAACATTGCCAGGCAATTGAGTGAAGCAAAACTGCTAATTTTATACCGCACTTAAATTTTCGAGAAACTGAAAATTTTGAACGCTAAACCGAAACATAAACCACTCGAAGCTGGATGAGGGCAATAAGAAATTCACGTTAAGTATGGCATTTCCGATTTTCAAACAGCTCTATCAAAACAAATCTTGTTTCTAAGAATTGCTGTGTGATTTTAACTATCCGATGGGATGAAATAACTTGAGATGTAAAGAATGATGCTTGACTGATAGTCATTAATGAGAGCGCTTTATGGCTAACTGCAACAATCAGTTATTTCAGATCATGATGATTCGCGCAAAATGGAGTACAAAAAGAAGCTGGCCGCACTTTTGCGACTGATGAGTCCTAGGTTTTGAGTTCGTGCAAGAATCGTATCTACCAAGAGAGTTGATTCGTGTATGCTGTCATGCGAATGATAATTTTCATTTACTCGATTCGGCAACATTCATTCCATTGAAGTCGTCCGTATTCGATTGCATGTTTTGAAACGTCAGGATTGCTAATTATGCGCTCGCTATACAGTCATAAACTGATTCATAATACGTTGCAGTGAACAGTGACGTTTCTATTGATGCTGAATTGTTGAACTTTGTTGTTCATCTGAAAATTATCATGCGATCATTGTAAACTCGCTACAAAGAAATTCTCATTGAAATAAATATTTTGCACATCTAACATACAGTGAAATATTTATGATTTTATGTAAAAATATTCCAGTTGAATAAATGACATTTTCTAAGAATGTTGATGGTTGATAGATGAATAAATTTCATAATTGTTTATTGAATATTCTGAGATGGTTGGGTGGAAAGGAGTGGTGAGATTGTGGGTATTTGTTTTGTTGGGGCATGTTAACGGTGTGAATGCAATGTTCAGAAATGAAGCTACGTTTTGTTGGATTATTAATTGTTTCGGTGAGTTTAATAATTTTAAGTTGTAACTCATAACTTGAAACGTTTTTTATCCATTCAACAACAATATATCATGTAAGGAGCATGATTTATCCGTTGTCTGAAACGCCGCTGAACGCAAAAAATTATTCGTATCGATTCTGTGCTGCAGCAATGGACACTGAACGGAATTCTACAGCAATAAATCTCTCTTCAGTATCGTTCACAATTGTATTTTGTGCAGTGGTTGGCTATACAGTGTTCATCCTCTATCGTGAGCAACGAGATGAGATGAATGACGACTGGAAGGAAAACTATTTACCTGAATATCCTCGAATCAGATGGCACCTTGACCAGCACATGCTTGACGTGAGTCCCTTTCTGCACTCGGCTCTTACTGCAGCTGGTGAACACATCGCTTCAAAACTCACTGTGAACAATTTTGAAGATTTTTTGCACGCATAAACGCTGAATGATGCAACGAAAAATTTGATTTCTTTTCAGGAAGAAAAGAACAACACAATTACAACTTCTATAGGTATTCTTTGGCTCTCCTCTTCTGAAAACTCTCACTGAAATGATTTTCATTTGAATTCATAAACTGTTGACATCGTCAATGCCAATCAAACTACTCTTGATTAATCGCCATCTTCATTCCTCACCGATCATCATTAAACCTATCGTTGTCGTAGCATAAGCATTCCCTAAAGAATGCAATCACTCAAATGATATGTAATCAAATTGAAATTCGTAACTTCACGAACTGATTATATCACTTAATATAACTTTAAGAACAAATTACTGGAGGTGGAAGTGATAAATCATTTTTCGCGGAAGTGGGGCAAATGAGGGAAGAAAGACAGCGCAGAAAGAAGCAGTTAAGGAAGAGGAAAACAAAGGGATTGGATCGCAAAAGTAAACTGAAGAGTGCGAGCTCAACACTTATGAAGATCAGTTCTGTGCTCGAGAACATCACTGGTATGGATAAAAGGAAATCGAAGCGAGAAATGCAAAAAACTGCGCCCCAATCATCGCAAAGTGACGTAAACTCGGGGAAGATAATTCGCAGACCATCACTTAAAGAAGCAAAAGATGCGGAGAGAATGATAGAATTTGAGAAACGCACTGAGGAGCAAAATCAACTGAAAAAAAAATCACTGAAAAAGGAAGACGTATTGCAGAATCAGAAACGAAGTTCGCCCAAAAAAGATAGGGAAAGCCATAAGGAAAATGAGGTAATATCACCGAAAAGGGAAAGCCGTAAAGAAAATGAGGTAATATCACCGAAAAGGGAAAGCCGTAAAGAAAATGAGGTAATATCACCGAAACAAAAGATCAGTAAAACGCAATCTACAGATGAACAGGTAACGAAAACCAAACAGAAGTCACTTGTTAAAGTCAAAAATGCATCATCTGGCAATACGTCTTCCTTTTTCAGTGATTTTTTTTTCAGTTG